AGATAGATAGATAGATAGATAGATAGATAGATAGATAGATAGATAGATAGATAGATAGATAGATAGATAGATAGATAGATAGATAGATAGATAGATAGATAGATAGATAGATAGATAGATAGATAGATAGATAGATAGATAGATAGATAGATAGTCAAGTCAAGGTTCTTTATTGTCATATGCACCACATGTGGTACATGTGGTGGAACGGAAATTGTGTACACAGGGTCCCAGTTACATCCAACAAAAGTATAAATTGTAATGAAAAACAGTAATATGATCTAAGATTGGAACTAAGAAATACGCTAAAACTAAGAATACACTAAACACTAATAGTACAAAAACAATACACCGAACAACAGCAGCCCGAAAATGAGTCTGTGTGAGCAGATGAGTATGAATGAACGCAGCAGCATGAAATAAATCAGCAGCATGAGATCAGCAATATGGATAGTCAGCAGCACACATCAACAATCAAGTGGCATTACAGTGATTTTTTTTTCTCCACAGTGATTATCCTGATTACATATTCATGAGTCTAACAGCTTCAGGGTAGAAGCTGCTCCTCAGTCTAGTGGTTCTACACTTAATGCTCCTCAATCTCCTTCCTGAGGCGAGTGGGGCAAAAAGTGAGTGTGCTGGGTGAGCGGAGTCCTTCATGATGCTGGTGGCTCTCTTCCTGCATCTAGAGGTGTAGATGTATGTGATGGTGGGGAGGCTGACTCCGACAGTCTTCTGTGCAGCCTTCACCACTCTCTGCAAAGCTTTTCTTTCTGCAGCTGTGCAGCCTCCATGCCACACATTGATGCTGGAGCACAGGATGCTCTCCACTGCACACCTGAAGGAGGAGGTGAGGACTGAGCTTCTCAGACCAGCTCGCCTCATCCGCCTGAGGAAGTAGAGTCTCTGATGAGCTTTCTTGATCAGGCTGGTGTTGTTGCCCCAGCTGAGGTTGTCATTCAGCTGCACACAGTACTTGTAGCTGGAGATCACTTCCACCTCAGATCCTCCTATATTCAGTGTGTGTGTGTGTGTGTGTGTGTGGGGGGGGGGGGGGGGGGTTGTTCCATCTGAAATCCACAACCATCTCCTTCGTCTTCTTCACATTGATGTGAAGGTTGTTCTTGCTGCACCAGCTCTCCAGGTGTTCTACCTCCTGCCTGTAGCTGAACTCATCATTGTTTGTGATGCATCCCACCACCGCTGTATCATCTGCAAACTTTACAATATAACAGCCTGGATGGGTAGCTGCACAATCATATTTGTGCAAAGTGAACAGGAGAGGGCTCAACACACATCCCTGGGGAGAGCCAGTGCTGAGGGTTATGGTGGAGGAGGAGAAGCCATGGATCCTCACAGACTGTGGTCTGTTTAATAAGAAGTCCAGGACCCAGTAGCATATGGAGGGGCTTAGTCCTAGTGTGAGTAGTTTGTCCATCAGGGTCTGGGGGAATCATGGTATTGAAGGTAGACGTGAAGTCCACAAAGAGCATACAGATGTACAGTAGGTCTGCTCCAGGTGGGTGAGAGCAGTGTGGACCACAGAGGAGATGGCGTCCTCTGTTGATTGATTTTTGCGGTATGCGTACTGGTGAGGGTCCTCACTGATGTTGATAGTTGTTTTGATGTGGGTCATGACCAGTCTTTCGAAGCATTTAGCGACTATCGGGGTGAGGGCTGCTGGCCAATAGTCATTCGGACCAGTCACTGTAGAGCTCTTTGGGACTGGGATGATGGTGGCGGTCTTCAGGCATGTGGGTACTGTTGCCAAGGTGAGTGAGAAGTTAAAGATGTCGACCAGCACCTCGCAGAGCTGATCGGCACAGTCTTTCAGCACCTTGTCTGGGCCAGTTGCTTTGTGAGGGTTAATCTTCCTGAAGGTACTCCTTACTTCTGTTGAAATCACACTGAGAAACTCTTCTTCCAGTGGTGAGGTGAGTCTGGTGCTGGGAGGTCTGTTTGGGTCTTCGCATAGAACTTGTTGAGGGCATCAGGTAGTGATGGGGCATTGTGAACCTCTGCCTTTATAATCTGCAATACACTTAATGCCCCTCCACATGCTCCGTGGGTCTTGTGAAGTGAATTGACCCTGGACTCTCTGTGCATATGTGGCTTTTGCCTTTATAATACCAACAACCAGCTCTTTCCTTATCCGTCTCAGCTCTTGTGAGTTGCGAGATCTGAAGTCAGTGTCCCTGGATTCCAGCAGGGTGTGAACCTCTGCATTCAGCCAGGGTTTTTGGTTTGGGTAGCTCTTAACATTTCTGCTGGTGGTAACATCATCAGCACACTTGCTAATATATCCCAGAACCTAGGATGTATATTCCTCTAGGTCTAGCTCCCCTTAATTTTCAGCAGCTTCTCTGAAGACCTGCCAGTCTGTGCATGCAAAGACTTTCAGTATGGAGTCACTATTCTTCATCCAACTTTTGACTTTTCTTTGTGTTGGTCTGGAGTGTCTCAGCAGGGGGAGGTAAGTGGGGGCCAGAAAGATGGAGATATGGTCAGAGAGTCCTAAGTGGAGGTGGGGTATGGCTTTGTATGCATCTCGTACATTTGTGGAAATATGTTGTGTGTTATTTCCTCGTGTAGGAATGGCCACATGCTGATAAAACCTTGGCCATGTGTCTTTCAGATTGACATGGTTAAAGTCACCAGCCACTGTGTAAAATGCCTCAGGTTTTGTTTTGCAGCAAGCTAATATCATGCAGCTCCCACAGGGCGTCTTTAGCATTAGCATACGGGGCTATGTAAACAGCTATTATAAACACTGACGTAAAGACAGACAGACAGACAGACAGACAAAGTGATTTTCTAACCTGAAATACAGTGACTGTCGCCCACAGCAAGGAATCAAAGTTTTTTCGGTCAGGTAAAGTATCTCCACTGACTTGTCGCAAGCCAAACTTACAGCCGAACAGATGCATCCCCAAAATGCTGCAAAAACACAAATTAATGCAAGGAATTATACTTATTATAATAATAAGAAAACATGTGTATTATATAATAATGTATAAACTGTGTGAGAATCTGCAGCACTGTCACTGTATTTTAAAGTGAAACATGATACATGTTTAAATGTTTGATGTAAAAAAAGTCAGCATTTATCACTGTGATTGGTTAAGAAATTATGCGTTTACAAAGAGGGGGAAAAGCCAAGAAATTACTTTGAATTGTGTTTAGACTCGTATTTTCACCTTCACACAGGGAAACAATACCTGAATATGAATATAAAGAGCATCAGTAACATGCAGAATGTGGCCACGTTGTCCATGGTCTTCATCAGCACCACCAGCTGCCTCCTTAAAGCAGGAAGGAACCGAACCAGCTTCAAAACTCTAAGAAGACGGAAAGTCCGCAGAACCGACAAGCCTCCCTCAGCCTCACCCACGATCTCCCACACACTGAAACCCACAGAGGAAATAAACACACTGAAACTCAAACCACAAAGAGGTTGGTGTCTACTGAAATGTAGCAGGAACTTTTCAGCTTAGTTTCCAACAGTGTCACCCACAAAAAATACTTTTGTTAGGACAGGAGATACATTATTTGTGTTCTGTGCTGGAGAATAAGTCACAATAAGGAATCTTTCAATACCGAGTTGTTTTCAAATGATCCATTTCAAAAGCATCAAAATAATATGCAGTTTATTGAAATTTGGCAATCGGTTACCTGGCCTGGCAACAAGCTAATTTGTTTAATTGGGTGTTGATTTGAAAACTTTTATTGGTCTGGAGGGATGTCAGTGAGAATTCCAGATCCATATTTAAAAGGGGAATGCCAAAGTCTTAAATGACACCAAACATTATAAGTAGAGACTTCCTGGTAGTCAGCAGAGGAAAATGGACTTTTTCAAAGAACATTAAAAGGATAAGAATTAAAAGGTTTATTTCTGAATACACATTTGTTGGAAAACTTCAGTTTAAAGGTAGATTAGAAAGAGTATTTGCTATTTGAGTTACTGGGATTGCTAGGTGTCTTTATGGCCTTATTCTTATGCAAGTCTCAATTATGGCACTAATCATCAATTTCACATCTTTTGCACTGTAGCCTGTGCTCATTTGGCTTCTATTTTCCAGCATGGGTTACATTTTATCTGACACATGGCTACTAAAAACACAAAATGTTTCCAGTCCTTCAACTATAATGAGAGCGAGGGAGGGTGAACGGACACTGTAAACAAGCTTCAAACACACAGATCCATAATTCAGCTTGTAGCACTACATAATAAAGTGAACGCAGGCCCACTGGACATTGAATGAAACCATTTGGCCTTGCAACTTCAATCAGCATCACTGTGACAGCAGCTGCAAAGCTGTGCTGCAAGGATCAAAAGGATTCCCCAATAACAAGAGGGGGATTTAATCACACCATTTCTGTTTGGGTGACAAACATGGGGACAAGCATCTTCTCCTCACCTGATTATGACAATGATGCTGTCAAAGCCGTTGTAAGGGTTCTTGATGTAGCCAAAAAGGCCGAGAGCCAGGAGCTTGAGCATCATTTCGAGGCTGAAGAGACTGGTGAAGACCATATTACTGATCTCCAAAATGTCTGTCAGCTCCTGTGGCTGAAGAGATTTGGTGTTTGAGGGAGAAGAGGGGTTGGTGTTTAGAGAAAGACATGCAAAAAGAGAATGAAAAATGTTACTAAAAAAACATAATTAAAGAATAGTCTGAACTAGGATTCTGTGGAAAGGTTAAAAGCAATCAATATCTTATCTGCTGTAGATCTGTACAGACATATTGCGATTTTCCTGCTATAGATACTTACTGCTATGATTTTTTTTCATATTAGAGTCATGTTTTAATGGGAGCAATTCACTTTAGTCTTGGCGCTGTTCAGACTAGACACTAACTTGTCAGATATAATTCTGTTTCTTTGAATTAAGATCTTTCAAAGTGCTATCTACAGCAGGTAATATATCAATTGTGTCCAAGCTTTCATAACCTAACTTCCAGAAATCTCAACTATTATCTTAAAACTCCAAATAAATAAAAAGTTACATATTTACAATAGTTTGTAATGTTTCTCTGGCCAGTTCTAACATGTCATGCCACAAGATGGTGAGAAGATCCATATTAACAACATGACAAAATACAGAAAAACAAAAACCTTTTATTTTAAAATACATTTTACAATTTTATAGCGGTTATTGAACATTTCAGTACACAAATGAAATTTAATGGCGGCGGGATTATGCTAAAAACAAAAATGATAAAAACAACTTCAGTGTTGTCTGGGTCTCTAGGGTACAAAAAGTCCATCAAAACTTGCACAGATTGCCATTGAATAAGCTAGATTAAGGAAAATGTACTGGAAATAACTACTTTATTAATAAAATATATTTATTAAACATACCATATTTATTAATATTAATTAAAATATCTCTTTCTATAAATTGATTATTTTTTCAAGACAATGTTGTAATTCTGTTTATGAATAAAATAAGAACTGTCTTAATTTACTTAGAAAAGTATGTGCTCTGTCTCCGCTGATTATGTCGCTTATTTACGACACTTTCCGTTAAAATCATTGACATATTTACGTCATGGTTAAAATTATATGCAGCTTCACCACTGGGCGGCACTGTTTTACCATGGAAGTAAGTAATTCTGTACCTTGCAGGGTTTTCTCGTTCAGCCCAGGCTGGGGGTCAGGTCTAATGTGTCGCATATCATCTTAACCAGTGACGCAAATATGTCAATGATTTTAACGGAAATACGAGTGGCATAAATTAGCTACATGAAGATCGGCAGAGATAGAGCACTTATATTTCTAAGTAAATTAAGACAGTTCTTATTCATAAACAACGGCGATCCGTGCGACCCAGAAGTATTCCTTTTAGCGCAAGCGTAAATGAGCTGACACTATAGATCGTGCTTCCATAACAGATCGGGGAATGACAATGCCTGCCAGAAGGAAAGAGCTAGTAGTGACCAGGGTAAGAAGAGTCTTTGACGATGTTTCTGGCCCTCCTTGATTCTGTGAGGACTTCAGTTCCTGCTCCTACCATACTCACTGCTCATGAGATACAGGTGTGCTCACTGACCACAGCTGACGCTGAGATCCTGATGAGCTGGGACTGGATTTAAGCAGAGGACCTGCCACAACTCTCCACCTGAGCATTGAATCATCGTCTTGCAAACCCTTCTGGAATCTCAAGTCTGCCATCTCCCATGTTGGTAACCTGTATACTCCTAGAACTCCACCTTCACACCTTACAACCTACAACTGGACATCACTGCTCTCTGCATCCATCTCTAGTCCCAGCTGTCACTCTCCATCATATTGAACTCTTACCTACTGGAAATTAAATCCTCCAACCTCTCCCAAACCTGTGAAGAAACAATAAACAGTACCGTCTGTCTAACCACCTGTTGAGAATTAATAACAAGAGTGAAAATACTCACCTTACCCCTTGCCTTGCAAATCTCCCTGGTCCCTTTTTCCCTGTTGACACACAAAAAAATCACTTACCTTTTACGTTCTGAGTCTGGAAGTTTTTTCGGTCCCTGGAAAACCAAACTCTTCAATATTCAAGACAAACTTGGTAAAAATGACAGACTCTATAGGTATAAAGGTCATGCAGGGGGGGAGGGAGCAATGATGATCTTTTCTCTGTTTTTATTGTCTTCTTCAATCTGTTTTTGTCTTGCTGTGTAGATTCACCCAGCCAGACTGTGATGGATGTACACAGACAGCATGGATTCAATGACAGCCATGAAGAAAAGGCTCAGCAGCTCTTGTGGCAGATTGTGTTTCTGCAGTGTTTCTGTAGAAAATGCCATCTCTGCTGGGCTTTGTTGAGGATGGTGACAGTGTTAACTTCTCATATGAGATCCTGAGAATTTGTAGTTCCCTGGAAATGGCACAAGATGACACAAGGCAGTTGGATATTCTGAGGGGGGCTGTAGTGGAAGTATTTCTTAAAGTCCACTCTCATCTACACAGTCTTGAGGGTGTTCAGCTCCAGGTTGATGGGGGTACATTAGCACACCAGATAATCAACCTCCATTCAATTCACAGACTTGTCCTCATCCTTTATCAGTCCAATGACAGTGTTGTCTATAAATTTATTTATCTTAACAGCAGGTTCAATCGTTGGTATAGATGAGAAAGAGCAGTGGAGGGAGGACATATCCCTGAGGAATTCCTGCACTACTAGTCTTTATCTCAGACCTGATATTGCCAAGCCTAACTTGCTGCTTCCTGCCTGTCAGGAAGCTGGTGACCCACTGACAGACTGCAAGAGAAACACTGAGCTGGGAGAACTTGGTGATGAGTATCTATGGGTTGACTGGATTGAACGCTGAGCTGAAGTCCACAAACAGAATCCTTAAGTAGGTTCCTTGATGTCCAGATGTTGCAGGATGAAGTGTACAGCCATGTTTATGACATTATTATCCACTGACCAGTTTATCCTGTAGGCACACTGTTAGGGATCAAGAAGATGACCTGTTTTGTCCTTCAAGTGGGTCAACCCTAGACGTTCAACAAATTTTATGATCACAAATGTCAGAGCTATTGGTTCGTAGTCATTTAGTCCTTTGATGGATTTATTTTGGGACTGGAATGGTTAAGTGGTTAAAGCAGGAGAGAACTTCACAGAACTCCAGTGAGCTGCTAAAGATGTGAGAAACTGGAGGATGAGATACCACCTTGACTAGGTGCTTTCCTGGTCTTCTGCCTATCTGGTTGTCACAGAGATGAGGAGCTGGAGATGTTGGGGTGTAAAGGAGGTAATTGCTGACATAGGGTGGGTGATGAGAGTGAAGGCCTTCTCAAACATACAATAGAAGTTGTTTAGGTCAACAGTCGGGCCTTTGAATACCTGATTTAAATAAAAAAAATTGGGGGGTGGGGGGTGACGAACGACGGACAACATCTGTATTTCGTGATGTTCAGCAGATCTCTCCACACCGAGTTAGGTTGGCTGAAAATTGGACTTTCAGCTTTTCAGCACATTTATTTATTTATTTATTGCTGCTCTGATCTCCCTGTTCAGAATGTTTCTGACCAGCTTATACAGAGTTCTTTCCTCTCTGCTATAGGCATCCCCTCTGGCTCTACAGTTTCATTAACTTTGCTGTATACAATGGTTTGTTGTTACTGAATTGTGCAGAAGGTCTTAGTAGGTGTCCACATGTCCTCGCAGATTGTGATGTAGGATGTCACTGCGTCAGCATGTTCATCTATTGTAGCAATTTTAAAGACACTCCAGTCTGTGCAGTGAAAACATTCATGCAGTTGTTGCTTTTCCTCGTCAGTCCATTTCCTTACAGATTTAACGGCAGGCTTGACAGATTTTAGTTTCTGCCTATAGGATGGAATGAGATGGACGAGGCAATGGCCAGAGTGTCCTAAAGCTTCATTGGGGACAGTGGTAAGCGATGGGTATCAATAATGGAAAAACACCAACACAAGAAGTCTTTCACAGAAAGTACGTTCTTCAAACAAAACACAACTAAAAAGTTTCATTTTTCATCTAAGCTTGTTTTGTAGTTCATGAAATATGTTCAAAAATGTACCTTCTCTGCTTTTGTTTAGTTGTATCTTTAGCAGTAAACTTGCTTGCAAATTCTGTCCCGCTGCTCATCTTTCTTGTTTGCAACTCGCATGGCTTGAGGTAAATTACAAAAATCAAACGTGCACAACAGGCTTAAAACAAAACTCTCCCGAACCTTTACCTCCTCCACACAGGACGGTTGCTGTGATGCCAGATTTGTTTGGGAGCCCGAGAACACAGAGTACGAAGCAGGTGTCGCACAAAACCAACAGAAACTGAGTTTTTTAAAGATCTCCACATTGTAAAGAGTTATAAAATATTCAGATTTCTCAACAAAAGCTATTTGTGTGTGGACAAGATGTTTGAATATAGCAAAATAAAATCTTTGATTTTAAAAATACCATGTCCAAGTTTAGGATTTTTTTCCAAAATGTAGAAATTACAAGAAAAATATAACAAAATATACTCAGCTTGACTTATTTATTAGTTTAAGTCATGATGCAGTTGCAGAAAAATTAGAGTTCAAAAAGAATATCTAGACAAGGAGTATATTATTTTGTCAAATGAAGTTGTTGAAGTTCCCTGATTTGGTGGATTATACCATTTTGTCATTCATGTATAGAGCTCATAATAATACATTGCCTTCTAATATCCAAATGCATTGTGTAAAAAGAGCTAGTAATTATAATCTTAAGGGGAAAGATGTTTTTGTTAAACCACAATTCAGAACCAGTTTGAAGGGAAGATCTACCCTAATTCAGGGTGTTGGACTGTGGAACGACTTGGAGTTAGATGTTAAGGAAGCTAAATCAATCTCGGTATTTAAGAAAATGGTAAAAATTCAATTGCTAAAAAAATATATATGAATGTATTTCATGAAAAATGTTGGATATTTGAAATATTACTTGAGTTATTTACTTGTTTCTGATAATTTTCTGAATATGTTTGTTTGAATGGTTTATTAGATAAATAAGGAGCAGATTCAATAAGATTTTTTCTTCATCTGCTACCTTTCATTTTATATTTATAATTGTTTTCTAATTACATATATGTTAATTGATATGTATTTTATTTTGTTATGAAATGAATAAATAAATAAATAAATAAATAAATTTATTTCTCTGCCAGATGTTGCCTTTAAACTGAAATGTGTGGCAGCATCAAGTCAAACTGAGGAGAAGCAACAGAGGAAAAAGCTGAGCAAAGATTTGTGTTTGGAAACAGAACGGTTTGAAAATTGTTCCACAAAACAACAACAAAAAAAGCTCTGTGGATTTTCTAAACCCATCAGATTTATCAAGGGCAGCATAGGAATGGTAAAAACCAAATGAATATTTAAATACTTTTGTAAACTCAAAAGTGAAAAGTATTTAATGCGAGAAAAGATTTTTGAGGACGCTAAAAGAATTATCTCAGTCACTAAGATAAAACTGAGCAATTTTTGGTTTCAAACTTCAGCAATAAGTGTCAAAGAGAAAACGTATTGACAGACATCGTGACATAAAGTTACTGCAGCTGCAAGAAAGAAAGAAATGCATTTCAGCAGATTGATAATATTAACTCCTAATATAAAATAACATAAACCACCTCTATTTTCCACCATAGACCATTACATTTAATATTTTTTATTGATTAAATTATTGAAAAGGTCCAAACATATTAAAGAAAATGCCATTTTATCTGTCTTCCTCCTGCAGCTGTATTTATCCTCATGAAATTCTTAAATGTGTGAAACTTTGTTTTCTTGAATGTTTTTAAAAACTGCTTTTATGCACAATTTTAATAAATGCTTGCAATAGTTTGCTATGACAGCACACCCCTCTTACATGCAGAATTTCTGACAGGAACACACAACCAAATCTGCAAAATGTCTGTGACTAAAGTTTTTTTTTTTTGGGCTCAGTTTCTAGGCACAACCAAGGTGTTGAGGGGATCCGTTTTGGTGGCCTTAGGATCGCTTCTCTGTTTTTTGCAGATGATGTGATCTAACTGGCTTCATCAGGTCGTGATCTACAGCTTTCGCTGGAGCGGTTCGCAGCCAAGTGTGACGTGGCCGGGATGAGAATCGGTTCCTCTAAATCCGAGGCCATGGTCTTGAGCCAGAAAAGGGTAGAGTGCCTTCTCCGGGTCAGGGAGGAGGTCCTGCCCTAATTGGAGGAGTTCACGTATCTCAAGGTCTTGTTCTCGAATGAGGGAAAAATGGAGCGAGTGATCGATAAGCGGATAGGTGCGGCATCTGCAGTGAAGCGGGCGCTGCACCGGTCTGTCGTGGTGATGGGAGAGCTGAGTCAAAAGGCAAAGCTCTCGATTTACCAGTCAATTTACATTCCAATCCTCATCTATGGTCATGAGCTTTGGGTTGTGACTGAAAAAACGAGATCTCGGATACAAGTGGCCGAAATGAGTTTTCTCCGCAGGGTGTTTGGACTCTCCCTTAGAGACAGGGTGAGAAGCTCAGTCATCCGGGAGGGACTCAGAGTAGAGCCGCTGCGTCTCCACACGAAGAGAAGCCAGTTGAGGTGGCTTGGGCATCTGGTTAGGATGCCTCCTGGACGCCTCCCTGGTGAGGTGTTCCAGACACGTCCCACCAGGAGGAGGCCCAGAGGAAGACCCAGGACATGCTGGAGGGACTATGTTTCTCGGCTGGCCTGGGAACGCCTCGGGATTCCCCCGGAGGAGCTGGACCAAGTGGCTGGGGAGAGAGAAGTCTGGGTCTCCCTACTTAGGCTGCTACCCCTGCGACCCAAACCTGGATAAGCAGAAGAAAATGGATGGATGGATGGATAAAGGTTTTTTTCTGAGCATTTTGTCTTTTTTTTCTCTTATCTTTTTGTCCATGAACAAAAGTCATTAACGATTAAATTAGAAGATATCAATTCAACAGTCTTAATTCATTCATCCATTTTTCTGTTTTGATCATTTAGTAAATTGACATTTTAACAGTTATTTTAGTTTTTTTTTTTTTTACATGCATAAGCTTAAGTTAGGCAAAATGACGTATAATGTCCTCTCAGCAACATTGAAAATATGAAATGATGTTAAATTAAACTTTAGGAGCCTGCATGTTTGAGAGGAAAATGAAGATGAGTTTGTATTCGTTCAGATATCCTCATACTATATCAGAGTTTGGACTTTTCTGAGAGTCTGCTGACGTGAAAATGGGATAAAATATAGCAGCTATTATCCTTAAACACAAGACATTGGCTCTGGCCATCCCAATCCGTCACAGTGTTTGGGAAGGGAGCCAAACAAAACCTTTCCTTCGTTTTCCCTACAGTCTGCTGCTGCCTTTCAGCCAATCACGATGTCAGATCTGTCCTCCTCCACCTCATCTCTCCCTTCGTTCATGCCTGCTTCTCTGACTCCGCTCCGTTTCCTCTCTGCTCAATCTCTTTCCTGTCCCAGGGTCACGCTTTAATTAACACTTGAGGTCTTATGAGTTTCCCCAACCGTCTCCTGAAACATGCCTGCACACACCCACGAGTGGTCTCACACACGTGCACGTTGCGATCCCATATGCTTGCTGCTGTACGTGTTGATTGGAGAGTAAGTTTGTTGACTCTCCCACACACGGTGATTAGCACGTCAATCACGCCACGGTCACATTCAATCTAAAAGTTTTCCATCCAGGTCCACACACAAGTATGCAGAAATAAAGCCTACCTGCTCGTGGTACTCTATGCCCATCGACAGGGTGTTAATAAGGATGGCAATCATGATTCCTCTGCTGAAATATCTGCTGCCGACGATAAGTTCCAGTTTGCTTTGGAGTCTCATCCAGCAGAGCTCCCACAGTCTTTTCTTTGACTCAGATGCCTGTGCATTACCGCAGATGGGGTTGTTACAGTGGCACGGGTCGTCGCCGTGGCTGTTGCAGGAGTTACAGCACCCGGGATGCTGGTCTTCATCTGCATTTTCACTGCTACTCGTTTGGTTGTAGTAGACACAGTACGGGCACGCTGAGGAGTCTTCAGGGCCTTCACCCGGCAAAGGTAATGAAGGATGCCCAGCAGATCCACCTGTGTTGAGGAGACATAAATCAAACATACACATAGTTTAAAAACTGCTTCTAAATGCCTCCCACAGGGACAAATCTATATTTAATTTATTTAGATCAGGGACCTCCTGAAAATCCTCTGGAAAATCTTGAATAAAGCAGATGTGATTTCTTGCAGTTTGGTGTATTTTAATGGGTTGTTAAACATCTACTTGCTTGTAATATATCATCATATATATATATATATATATATATATATATATAGATAGATATATAT